GGCGTCCCTGTTTTTTTTTTTTTCCTTTGATAATATTTCTACCCAGAGACAGAGTCCACATGCCCCCCCTTCCAGTACAGTGACAGTTCAGTGATGTAACTTTTTTGTGTCCCATCCTACAATTTGGCAGTTACAACGTGTTGTCATGTCCATCCGTCCCTGCGGTAATTGAGATGCACAGACGCTGTAAATACCTGTGGAGCCAGCTGTGACCTGCTGGGTTGTATTGGATTCACTTGGGAAGGCCTGGAGAAGCTCCTCACTGCCTGGCCAGCGGTCCTCAGGCTCTCCATCACTCCTGCCTGGAAGCAGAGCAGTCTTAAGCACACACCTCCAGTGTGTGTCGGCTCCTATGTCAAATATTAGTACCTCTGACTTTTCTATTCTTTGTAAAAGAAAACACAGGTAGAAGTTCAGTCATCACACTGGATAGGCCCTGGGGCTCACCCGCATCTTGAGGGTCAGCGGTCAGTGGAAGGTGTCCACTCCTTATTAGCTTGCCCTGGGGCCACTGGTGAGAACGCTGCCCTCCCTCACCCTAGGGCCAGGGGCACTCACGAAGCCACCCCAGTCTGACGGTGACCCTCATTAAGCATCCCTATGCATCAGTTATTAATTACAGGCTTCCCTTTAGTAAATATGTTTTTAGGAGAGTAATGCGTTCTTCAGATGCTGTGGGTTAATGTCTGTTCTCTGCTCCTTGCCTCCTGCAGGTTTTGCGTGGGTATCGTCAGGTTTGCTCCTGGTATCATCAAGGATTTACCTTGAAGTAATCAGGAAGTGTCCCAAGTTCACATTAGCAAATCAGTGAAAGCAACTGAGGGGAGGGAGTGAAGAAATGTATATAAACATAAGGCACCTGGGATACTATTTGTAGAGAGAAATGTTATCGCTCAAAGCTTAAAAAAATAATAATGAAAGGAAATGTTAATCAACATTAAAAATGTTCTCAGCCAACCTTGTAATTGCCCCTTTCGTGTCCTCTTTCTCTTAGATTAGAGGTCTCACTCAGCACACCGTCTAGTTTCTGGGTGGGATCCTGGGGTTCGTCCAGACCCCTGTCACGGGGGCTCCCGGCCGAGCCCGTGGGCTACAGCAGTTTGTCTCATATTGTGCTTTTAGTTGATGCTCTCTTTGGGGCTCAAGGTCGCTCTTTAATGTGTCCTAAAACAAGAATGTCAATGTTACTCATCTGTAGACAGTTAAAAGTAAACCACTGTCACTCATGGGCAGAATTCAAAATCCATTCTTTTTTTATTGTGCTTCATAGAAGTAATTGTAAAAATTGGGTCAAATCTGGGGTCGTGGGTTATTACTTCAAGAGTCAGTACCAGCCTTGAATACCACACGCTGAAGTGTAATAACCGACAGCATCAGTCCCGGTTAGTTTTTACCGTTTGATTCACATTACATGGTAATCAGAATAGTCAGGTCAAGTGCGGGTTGTATTGTCATACCTTTTTTCTTCTTTCAAGGTTCACAATGCTCTATGGCTGATTCATGTTGATGTTTGACAGAAAACAACAAAATTCTGTAAAGCAATTATCCTTCAATTAAAAAATAAATAGATTTTTTTATCTAGGGTGAAACAGATCACCAGCCCAGGCTGGATGCATGAGACAAGTGCTCGGGCCTGGTGCACTGGGAAGACCCAGAGGGGCCGGGTAGAGAGGAAGGTGGGAGGGGGGATGGGGATGGGGAATACATGTAAATCCATGGCTGATTCATGTCAATGTATGACAAAAACCACTCCAATATTGTAAAGTAATTAGCCTCCAACTAATAAAAATAAATGGAAAAATAAATAAATAAAAAAGATCAGCAATGCTAACATAGTTTTTAAAGAGCTTATTTTTCAATTACAAAATAACTCATTCTGTAGAGACCCAGCATACACAAGGTTAAAAAGCATATTCTTTCACCACCTCCACTCATTTTTATCCCCCAGTGGTACAGTCCTATTAACCCAGCAGCAAGTACTGAAGATTTTTAAAATATGCTGACCAACAAGAACCTAAATTAACCTGCATTCAGAAAACACAGGAGGGACTTAACTGGTGGTCCAGTGGTTAAGAGTCCACCTTGCAATGCAAAGGACACGAGTTCAACCCCTGGTCAGGGGTCAGGGAACTAAGATCCCATATGCCAGGAGCAGCTGAGCCTGTGTACCACAGCTACTGTGCCCAGACACCACAGCTAGAGAGCCCGCATGCCACGCTAAGACCCGACGCAGCCAAATAAATCAGTGAACATAAGGAAATAGCTGATGGGGCTGTGGGTGCAATATTTTTTGACTTATTTCGATTGGTCTAATATAGTTTTTTTAAAAAACTAAAGTTGTAAATGTTAGCCAAATGAGGTTTTAAAACATGAGTTCATGAGATTATGCTCACAAACTTTAAATAAACTGTTAACAAAAATATTTAATACAGTAAAGATTGAAAGCAGGAGGTGAAGGGGATGACAGAGGATGAGATGGTTGGATGGCATCACCGACTCAATGGACATGAGTTTGAGTAAACATCGGGAATTGGTGATGGACAGGGAAGCCTGGCGTGCTGCAGTCCGTGGGGTCGCAAAGAATCAGACACGACTGAGTGACTGAACTGAACTGAACACCTTAGCTATCTGGAACCCTGGAAGAATTGAGAATCTCAGCAAGTTGAGATTTTCTTGTTTTTTTAAGAAGGATTTTTATAGCTAGAAGTTTTGTGAAGAAAAAAGATTTTACTCTGCTCTTCGTTCTTACTGCAGTAGGTTTGTTCCAGTGTTCTGGCGACAGCTGGGTCGTCATCAGGTAGTTTTTAGGGGTAAATACGGGCTTCTCGGCGCTCTACAGCGTGAGAAAGCCAGAAGGTTCCACGTACATGAGCTGTAACTATGAAACGTGCTCATTCAAGGTGTTTCTGGCAAAGTGGAGGGTGAGTACAGGTGTGGAATTGAGTGAGGACTGAAGTTAAGCTCGGAGGTCACTCAGAAAATGAAGCTTTTCGTTGAAAAGAGCTGGATATTTTCTTGTAAAGAGACCATAGACATTGTGGTGACTATCAGCTATTTCAGTGATTCAGCCACCTGGACTCAGGATGTCTGTGGTCATAGTTCTGTCCCTCAGTCCTGAGTACCCTTCAGGCAGCACACCCTCACCCCTGGACCGGCTGTGCAGTCTGGGGACTCGGGGAGCTTCCCAGGAAGTGGGGGGCCGTGCTGAGCGCCTGCTGGTTGCCGGGTTCCACACTGGGCACTGGGGGGTACAGAGAACCAGGGGGCAGTCACCTGGCACCTGCTCTCAGAAAGCAGCCCGGTAGGGGAGGAAATGCCCACCTAGGGAGCTCACCATTCAAGGCAAGGGGAGCTAAATGATGACCCAGGAGTGCGTCCTGTCTGACCAGGAGGTGAGGAGGCCCAAGCGAGAACCCCAAACAGGAGCGGCAGCTGGTGGAGGAAAGGGAGGTGAGGTGGGTTGAGGGAGCTGATGCGGAGAGAGGCGGGTGGAAGCAGGGAAGCCCGGGCCACCCGGGGACCCACTTGAAGTGCCAGCTCCTGTGGGGCGGGGGTCTCAGCAGCTTTGGTCTCAGGACCCTTTGACACCCCTCAGAACTATGTAGGACCCAGAGAGCTTCTGTTTATGCGGGCCTAACTACTGATATTGACCACATTAAAAATTAAACCAGAGAGGGTGGTATCATTTTCTACTTTTGTAAGTCTTTTTAATGTCTGACTTACTAGGAGAGAGCCGGATTCTCCAGCCTGCCTCTGCATTCAGCCTGTTGCCATATGTTTTGGTTGAAACAATGCAGGAAGACACCAGATTGGGAAGGGAGGAGCTTTTCAGATCATTATGGACATCTTCTTTGATACCACAGCAAAAAGTAACCAGTGAGAGGTTTCTTGAAGGAATCTGCAGCATGGAATCTGAAACCACAGTAATAGGCTCCTGTGCACCTTATCAAATTAGGACCCAGTGGGCTGTTTCGCCCTCTGAATGGCTGTTTTGCCCTTGACCAACACTGTAACACCAGTGTGATCTTGTGGAAAATCTTGGTTCACTGCGTCAGGCAGATCTTGGACACATTTCAGTCAAATATGTCGATAGATCCTGTTTGTTAATATCCCCGCCGATCTCCTCTTCGCCCCAGAAAGCTGTCGCACTCACACGGGCAGATCGGAGCTTTCCAATACCTCCCAGAACGTCACATGGAGCTCCATCACTTCCCAGTCCTACACTGACCCTCCGTGCCTGCGTCTCGTTTCTGCTGTATCATTGTAAAGATTACGTGAGAAAGCTATGTGTGACGTGTATAAAGCTTCATTGTGACCCCTGGCCCCCGTGAGCACTCCCTCCATAATACCGTTACTGTTTGCACTGTTTCTGCATTGCTGTCGTCGTGTGTGACGCGTGTTGACCGTCGCCCACACTGACAGGATACAGGGCACCTGGGTGGGTGGAGACCCCCGCTGTGTGCCTGGAACAGCTCGTGTGGGCAGCTCCACAGCAATGCCCCTTGCTGCTGGCCGGCTGGCCGAGGGACAGCCGCCACGCCCTCCACCGTAAATCTAAATCTATAGCCCGAGGGGCACCCACCTGCCCTGTGACTGCTGACCTGCCATGTGCAGCTGTCCCGTGGTGCCCCTCTCCCCACCCTGGAGCTGGGGTTTGCCTCCTGTTATGCTGCCGGCATGTGATACGGCGGCAGTGTCACGTTTGTTGAATGAAAGCACTTAATGAGAAAGAATTTTATTTTGAACAGTACTCTGGACAGTACAGAGAGTTAAGAAACATGGAAACTTTGTCATGGGAAGCATATGATCTGAGCAGCGATGAGCTGATTTTTTCCTTCCTTTGTCTTAAAGGAATGTATAACCTCTATTCACTCCCACCCCATCTCTTGTTTCTCGAATCTCTATTAATTGAAAAGTTGTAGAAAACTTAAAAGCGCGCCACAGTAATTCTGGGTTAAGCATTGTTGTGATCGATAATACTTTGCTCTCTCCTTTTTCAGATGTTCCTCCTGCTGATCAAGAGAAGCTTTTTATCCAGAAGTTACGTCAATGTTGTGTCCTCTTTGACTTTGTTTCCGATCCGCTCAGTGACCTAAAGTGGAAGGAAGTAAAACGAGCTGCTTTAAGTGAAATGGTAGAATATATCACCCATAATCGGAATGTGATCACAGAGCCTCTTTACCCAGAAGTAGTCCATATGGTAAGTAATTGTCGTCTAATCAACGTGCCCAACCCTCGGTGACAGACTGAACTCTGACTTACTTAGAATATGCTAAGACGTTTAAGCCTAACATGACATTTGCTACCCCAAAAAAAAATCCTCCTGTTCAAAAATGTGTCCTGGCACCTGGAAGAATGAACCTCTCTGTGCCATGCCCTAGACTGCAGTGAGGGAACTGGAAGGACCACTGTGCCCTGCGTGTGTTAACCTCACCTGATCCTCACGGCCACCACATGAGGTAGAAATGTCAGAACTTTCATTTTTTTCTTAACTGTGTTACCCTCTTTAACAGTGCCTATGCATAATTCAGAAGTAAGCGTGTGGTCCACACATGGGCAGGAAAATGCTGATGGTTGGGAGGAGGTAAAATAGTGGTGGGGCCAAGCTGGAGTCAGGACAGCCCACCCTGGTTGGCTGGTTCACCGTTGGTTTCATTTGACCCCCACATCCCTGTCTTCAGTCTCAGACTCTCCAGCCCATTGCTAGGTCCTTTGCAGGTCCCGCTGTGACCTCAGTCAATACCGTCTAGAAACATTTCATGTGATACCATTTTTAAAACTCTAATGTTTGATGCTGAACTCGAGTTTCCTGTTGAGTTTTTTTGAATTGTTGTTGTTTTATCTGTCTTTGACATATTACTCCTTGGTAACTAAGGAATCTTTGTGGCTTAATATAAAATTTTAAATCCTGATTTCTGTTGAACTCTGTAAGTTTCTGATTCTTTTTCCCCAAAGCTATATATTTCAAAATCGACTAGGCTCATTGACCTAAAATATGTTTCTCCTTACATTAGTATGTGTGCTTTGGGAAAGAAGAAATGCAAGTCATGTTCTTTGTGTAGTTCACAGGCTGTTGTATCCGAAGCTGAGATCAACTTGCTTCCTTTATCATGGTTAACTCTTAAAGGTCAGACTTTACCAGCCTATCGTCCGCCTAGGGCTGTGAGGTCCGTTCGGGTTCTGCCCCAGACGCCTGCCTGAAGAACCATCACAGGCCTATTGATGCTGTTCAGTCACTAAGTCGTGTCCGACTCTTGGCAACCCTGTGGACTGCAGCACGCCAGGCCTCCCTGTCCTTCACTATCTCCCGGCAGCCATATACTGATCAGTAAATCCTGTAAAGCCTCTCTCATTCAGACTAAGGAAAATCAGGGAATGTCTTTTTCTGTCCTTAATTTCCACTCTCAGTTACTATGGAAGGGCCTCCCAAACCCCAGAATCACAAAGAGAAATCTCTAATATTTTCTAACACTTTGATAATTCTCTTGTTCACAAGATGTTTTGCAGTCCTCCTGGAGCTTTTTTTTTTTTTAATGTCTCAGAGTAAGGATATAACTGTGTCTTCTAAAATGATTGAAAAATCATCAGTCCCTACATCATGTGATGAATAACCCCCTTTCTCCATTGACTTTAAATGCTGCTTTACTGTATATTAAGTGTATTCTATTTTTTAATTAAGTGTATACATATGTCATCTATTATATTTATAAACACTCAATTTATTCTGTTTTAAGTGACCTGTGTGGAAGCTTCTTCCGTTTGGATGGGGCCTGGGATGCCAGCAGCCCCTGAGTTCCGCTCTCTCCCCAGGAGGGAGGGGTCCACAAAGGGTGTCGAGGCCCAGGCTGGCCGGGTGTGGACTAGATATCTGCACTGCCCACGGCCCCGGTCTCTCCTGGGTCTTTCACCGAGGTGGCATGTTACCAGAACCACTTAGCATGCCTCAAGCTCTTGAGGCTTGTTTCAGATGAAACAGTCGTTGCTTCCTGCCTCCCTGTTAAAACCGTGTCCTAATAACCAGCCTCTCCCGCCGTCTTAGCTTTGTTCCCCACCCGGCAGTGCAGGCCGTCTTCAGAGTCCTGGGCATCTTGCCTCTGGTGCACATAGCAGACACTTGCTGAGCATCCCCTGAGCACGTTTTTAGATGAGGAAGTAAGAGTGGTGAGCAAGACGTGTGCCCTCCCAGAGCCGGGATCGGTCAGGTTGTTGTTTTTGGTTAAGGTGAGGCCGTGAAAGAAGGGGAAGCGGGAGAGCGGAGAGTTGCAGGACCACCCACATGGTGGGAAGAAGGCGCGGAGAGGAACCTGCTAGGAGGGGAGTTAGGCGGTCCCCCGAAGGTGAGCGCAAGGAGGCGCTTTTCATTGTCCCTGAGAACAGGGACGGGCAGTCTATCCTCTCTGCTGCGGCGAGGGAAGGAGAGCGCAGCCGCCCCCTTCCCTTGAGGAGCGTGAGGGTTTGTGCTTCGTAGACGGAGGGCACTGGAGAAAGATACAGTGCAAGAGTGTGTGGGGACGGTACCCGGCAGCATTTCTGACCGTCTGGGAGGTAGAGCGGGTGCAGGATCCAAGAGCCGACGGAAGGCCTCCGCCGCACAGTGCCTGGACCCGGCGGGGCAGGTGGAGAGGCGGGCCCCTGCCTAGCTCCAGCCCACGCCCCGGCTGTGCTGACCCCTGAAGTAGCACTCAGCCACCTTGCTTGGTTTGTTGCCTGGTGTGTATTTTGTTTTGTTTGACCGCACCACATGGCCCATGGAATCTTAGTTCCCTAACCAGGGCTCGAACCCGTGCACCTGCAGTGGAAACACGGAGTCCTCACCACTGGACTCCAAAGGGAGTCCTGTCATAGTATTTTTGCAGACATTTATTCTCACTGACTTTGAAGAATCCAAAGCTCTAGAGATGTTGCACTCTTTATGCTTACTTCTTTTAAATACGTTGCCTGTTACATTGGGCTGCTTTATTTTTTAACAGATTTATTGATGGGTAATTCGTAAGTACAATCCACCCCTTTAAGATGTACAATTCAGTTTAGTCTGTTGACAAGATTGTGCAGGCATCAGCACATGTAATTTTATAATATTTTCATCCCCCTAAAAAACATCCATACCCACTAATAGTTACTGCCACTCTTCCTAACTCCCCACTCCTGCCCCTGGTAACTGCTTCGCTATTTTTCGCCTCTGTAGATTTGTCTAACTGGGATATTTCTTAGAAATGGAATTATACAGTACGCAACCTTCTTTTACTTCGCATAATGTTTTCATGTTTCATCCATGTTGTAGCATGTCTTAGAACTTCTTTTTATTGCTGAATAATATTCCATAATAATAATATTCCACAAGAACATATATCCCACATCTTATTTATCTGTTTATCCATTGATGGACCTTTGTGTCATTTCTGCTACTTGGCAGTTGTGAATAATGCCCCTGTGAGCACTCGTGTGCAGTCTTTTGTGTACATACATGTTTTCGTTTCTCTTGAGTGTTTACCCAGGAGAGGAACTGATAGGTCCATGCTAACACTGTGTGTTTAGCAGTTTGGAGAGCTGCCAGACTGCTTTCCAAAGCGGCAGCCCTATTTCACATTCCCAGCAGCAGGGTATGAGCGCTTCGGTTTCCCCACCTCTCCCATACTTGTTACGGTCCGTCTGTTTGATGGTGGCCATCCTGGTAGGTGTGAGCTAGGATCTCACTGTCATTCCGGTTTGTGCTGCCCTCTTGGCTAATGACGTTTAGCACTTTTCATGGGTGCTGTGTCTTTTTATGCGTCATTTAACGGAAATTAAGTGAACCTTATAGATCATCAAGAAATTAACAGAACCTTATAGATCATCAAGCTCGACCTTTATTTTCCAGATTAAAATAGCTTAGGTTCAGGGAGATGAGGATGAAAAGGGAGCAATACCCAGGGGGAAGTTCCTGGAGTCCAGATTCTTGGGTTAAATTACATAAACTCCATTATCTCAATATTTCAGCCATTTTTAAAATATAGTCAGCCATCTGGTGTTTAATTAAGTTATCTAATGAATCTGTTTTTCAGGCATTAGCATTTTTCTCATAGCAAAACCAAGTTAATAGCATAGCCTGTTCTTTCACAGAATACCATTTATACTTGAACGACTAACAAAAAGGTTATTCAGACTTGGGTTTTCAGAGAGCATTTTCTCACAAAATAAAATGAAAATGTCACTTTAAGGAAGATAACTGATGATGTTTATTGTCAATGATTAAAATTTGAGCATTCAAAAAAGAAAATTCAAGCTCTCAGGAGAAATTTTGAATTTTGGAAGATTTGTATCTGCCAATGCAGACTTCAGCTTCCCAGTGCTGCAAGCCGTCCTGCTGAGACTGGTGTCAGTACCAATGAGTGGGATCCTTAATATACACAGTGAAAGGAACTAGACATTGTGGTGCCTCCACAGTTCTGTGAATATATGGAAAACAATCAAATTGTACATTTTAAAGGGGTGGATTGTATGATATGTGAATATCTCAATAAATCTGTTTTTAAAAAGCCTGGCAGTTGTTTAATAGGCAATTTGTTTACAATACATTAATACACATAATTCAGTGAAACCAGTATTTTCCGAATGACGAACAGATGATGTTATAAAATCATTCATTGGCCGGAGAGCTATTCAAAGTGCAAGACACATCACAGGGTTTTCAGGAATTAGAGACCCCTCATTGATAAGATTTAGGATTCCACAGAATAGGTAACCTTTAGTGAACTATCACTTGTCAAGTTTTGGTAAAGTATCAAAGAAGTCTACAATTTTCTAGAAGAGCTATTGATCACCCCTCACTTTTCCAACTACCTATATGCTGGAGACAGGTTTTTTTTTTCCTGTATTTCAACCAAATGAACATTCTGAGCATAGCAGATATAAGAATTCAGCTCTTTGTGTTTTTTGTGTTTTTTTTTAATTAAACCAAACATAAAGAGGTTTGCAAAAATGTGAAACAGTGCCACTTAAGACATTATAAGATATTTCCAGGTATCAGCTTCAGTGATGTTTCTTATCTTTTTTCTGAGTCTCCAGGTAATATTCAACCCCTACAGCTACCACAAATGCAGCAAATCCCCACTTGAATCCTTTTAACAATGCTCCAACAAAGGAAACATTGTTTGCAAAGCCGCCCATGTATCTCCAAGCTTCACTGCAGCCCCTTGGATCCCTTAGTCCTTGTTCAGCCAG